GTTCGCCTCGTCTGCGGCGATGGGGCGCGCACATGCCCAGCCTGGCGATTCGCAGTCGAAGGGGCTGGTGAGTAGGGGTCTTTGGGGAGGATTCGGGTGAGCCTCGGAAAAGAGAACATGTTCACCACACAGTGGTCTTCGCGGAAGTCCTGTTGTTTCGTGGATGCAGTGGAGTTCTTGGGCGTGTCGTATCAAACTTTTAGGCTTGCAAATGCAATTAAAAAGGGTTTGAACAATTTCTTTGGACCCTTACCTACAAAGGGGTCCTCTCTGCCCCATCCAAAAGAAAAACACTACCAACTGACTGAAGGAATGCGGCTCAAAAACACCACCTACTAACCATTCTTGGCCATACTTCCTCGACCAGTTCTTCTACCCTTTGGCTAATAGGGCGGTTGGAGCCCCCGAGTTCTCCAAAACCCCTGACACATCCCTCCTACTTGTTTGAGCCGAACCCAGAAGACCTTGTAGCTTGTGGGCTGTTTGAGGTACAAGCCCTGACAGCTGAAACCACCAGCTGTCCAAAATATGCCCACATCTAGATGGTGAAAGGATGTGAACGGTTCCCTCCATTGCTTCCCTACATCGTTCCCCTTCACTTCGAAGCGAAGGTGAAGGCGACGCTGGGCTCCCCCAGCTCCAGGCACTGCCTTGGTGTGTCCCAAAGGTCCGAGACATAAGCATGCCCTTTGTTCCTAGTTCGTAGCGTCCTTGTTACTAGTAGTAAGGCCAGGAGCCCCGAGTAAGTCGCGTCCTTGCGGTGTATGATTTTTCGGGAGCGAGATCCCAGGTCCAGGTCCTATGGGATCAGGCGACCTGAACTCGGTGGAGACCGTCGAGGTTCTCAGTCATATGTTTAGAATATCAAAGACACACGAGCTACTGGAAAACAGTTGTCTCATTTCTCTGGAAAACGACCTTACAACCAGGATCCCACATTGGTGACTAGTCCCTTGGGGCAGCTGGACGCCCGTTTGACCCAAAAAAGATAGCACTCCAAAGGGCCCGGTAGGGAATGAGGGAATGAGCCCCCAATAGAGATTTTTTGGATCCATTCCCTCATTCCCTACTAAGCACCAGTCAGTGACTCCAAGCGTACCTGGGGTCTGTGACCGTCTCTGACCGTCTGTGACCTGGGATTGTCAGATGGTCAGCATTTGTGCAAAGTGATCATGGTGGGAAAAGAAGGCCAGCAGCACTTTAGATGCAACCAGGCAAAACGATGCGGAGAGATGCAGTATATGTGAGGTTTGTATGAGAATGAGGTACAGTATATGTGAGGTTTGTATGAGGTTGAGGGCCCTGCACTTGGAGCAGCTCCAGATTAATTAACCATGTGCTGGGCATCCCGCTTGCTCGCGGCTGGTCGCCTGCGCATCCCATGACTGCCCGACCGTCGTGCGACTTGAACTCGCCATGGTTCGGAATGCGGAGATGCGGAGATCCGAGCGAAATCCACCGACGTTGAGCGTTGTGTTGGGCAAATTGGATCTCAACAAAAAAGGGGTGTTGGGCAGGTGATCCACTGATCTTTGTCAGGTCAACCACGATGCTTGGATTCACGATGCGTTTTTATCGCACAGGATTGACCCGCACATACCCGCACGGTTGACCGGATCCTTTTCGGCGATGGTGTTGTTTCAACTGTGTTCCCTTTTGTTCAGCATCTAAGGACCTTCCAGTCTCCAGTGTTCACTGAGAAAAGGACGTCGATGGACCTCCAGTGTTCGTTCCCTCCATGGCCAGACGGTTCGCCACCAACGACGGTGGCGAAGCCAACTTCCAGTCTACGACAAGACAGTGTGTTGGGTGTATCCTAATCCCTGTAACAGTGGACGATGATGGTTCGTAAATGGCCTTTCTCTCAAACAGTTTGATGACTGTTACAGGTAATAAGACACCCCCAAACAGTATGTAACACCATGTAACACCAATATACACCAACCAAGTTATATCCAGCCATCCACCGGTCGATCCGGTTTGCATGACGGGTCCGGACGGCTCAGCCGAATTAAATGGGAGCTCCACCCAGGTTGTTGTGGGGTTTTGACTTCAACAGCCCGTGATGATTGAATCTGCAGTTCCTTTGATCTCTTCAAGCATTGAAGTGACACATCCTCAGGGAAAAACCTGACTCCCGAGCTGTTTCCCGGGAACATCCGGAGCATATAGCCTGTTTCCACCAGTTCGCTGTCGGGGAGACCAATCCCCCAAGACGCCACCGTGCCCGGGCGAGGGAAAGAGGATCTCTCAGGACGAGTCGATGGGTGCTTCCTCCAAACCACAGACCTTCAACGTCTAAGTCAGTGGAGAAAACATCTGAAAACATCCGAGATCAATTATTAACTGCCATAAATACGAATGCCAAGGCAGGTAGGTGTTTGGGTCTAAACGTCCCTCATCTCTTCTGACGAACACGCAGTCGCTCTAGGCCCAGCCTGCTCCAGGCCTCCCGCACTCGCTGCCTGGCGCAACCACCGCTGACCACGGTCCGGTCACTGCGGTCCGTGCTGCGGTCCCAGGGTGTTGTGGGGTACTCTGCGTCTCCTTGTTGGACCAATATGAACCTAGTTGGTATGTGGTATCAGATATCGAATCCATCTATAATCATCTGTTTTTTGGCATAAAGGTCATGGTCATATTGCTTTACTAGGGCCAAAAGAACTTGTTGTATTCACCACAAGGGTATGATGTCTATCATCCACCGTTTCAGCGTCACTCATTCTCTTCTCTTGATTTGTCCGCCGTTTGTCACTGTTCTATTAAGCTCATGCGACTCATGTTCCATATTCCTTACTGGGTATCACGACCCTCACACTCCACATCAGCTGGTCCGGAGGCTACTGAGGCTCTGACTTGGCCCAGCTTCCCCTGCAAGGACCAACAACGGAACGGCCGGCCGAGTGAGTGGCCTTCAGGCCACAGTGTTTTCTCTGGTTTTTGGACCCCGTGAGTGGAACCGGTGATGTCAATCACTGGGGCACCCCATGTAACACATCCAACACTGTCGGCTCGTGGAACCGCTGTGTTGGTCGGCTCGAGGCGAAGGAGCTCGGGTGATCGGTTGGACCCCAAACCAGTCCCAAAGCGGTCCGACTCGACTCGGCCGACTTCCCAAAACCGTCGTTGTGAGGGACGTCCAAAAACTCTTTGGGATCCTTCAGAACCCCTTCTGAAGCGATCTGTGAGGGACGTCCCGTCTATTGGTCGACGCACCAAAAGCAGACCGTTCAGGCGCCATTTGGAAAGTGAATTCACACCCTATCTGATCTATGCTGGTGAAGTTGGAGCCCTTGAGAAGGGTCTGTGGCTGTGATTGGTCGGGTGGCATACGCGTATCGTCGGTCGGGTGGTACTCTCCACTTACCAGCCCTGACAGGTTCATGTATAGCGACCAGCAATGACATGTATAGCAACATATAGCAACCCTGAAATGACAGCACGAGTCACCTTCTTCATCCTTCTTCTAACTGGAAGGCATTTGCTGACCCCCTAAACCTGCACTCAGCACCGCCCTGAAATATGGGCCGTACTCTTGGATGAGCTCTCCTTGCAAGTCTACATTGAATGCGCACCTTTGAAGGAAGATGAAGAGGGCTGTGTTCCCAGGTGGGAAGCCAACGTCACGTCCCCACTCGATGCATTCTCCTTCTTCCACTAGGAACGATGGATGTACGTCCACACAACCGGAAGACACATCCTTTTGGACATCCTTTTGGACCGGATCCGACCGTTCTCTTTGAAGATCCGAAACCGTTCTCGCGCGAGATCGACCGGTTCTCTTTCCGACAACAGCGACGAGCAAGACCTGGTACCACATGGGTGTGTGCTGAAACAAGGAGAGACCCCAAACCACCTATAGGAAAGTCCATATACTCAGTAGTAGGCTGAAGCATGCTGAACCAGCTGGGCAAAGCCATTCAATGGTCAGGCACAAGTAACTCACCAATCTCACCAAACTGTTCTCAAACCCGAGGCTAGCCTACCCCGCGATCGGTCTCCTCGACCAGTCGAACAAAACGACCCACCGCTCTCAACCGGTCTCGCCCACCGCTCTCGACGGCGACGCGCTGGGTCTCGTGCCTGCACGTCCCAAACCTGGCTTTGGAGCCTTTGGTGGTTCACATTCATAACCTGTCGGAGGTCACGGGAGAGTCCGCGGAAGGAACAAGCCAAGCCGGGTATGAAATTGGCTGCGGCCGGGGGCTTGGCACAGCGTTTGGGCCCTTAAGAAAAAGGGAGCTGATTGCAGAATATTACAGAACTTTAATATTTGATTAATTTGATTAGTTTGATTATATAAATTAATTTGATTATGTTGTTTTCATTGCTTATTTTGGATTGTCCTCTTCATATGGGGCGTCGCTTTCTGTCCGACCTGGTCGGCCCGGAGTACGACACAAACGGGACACGACGGGGTCTCCGGTCGGGGTCTCCGGACGGTTCGCCCTTCAACCGCCATGACTTCAATTCATGTGGACAAAAGCTGCCCAAACAATGCTTGGAGATCATCATTATACTCATCTTTGAAGGTTCAACACAACTTGTCAACTTGTCCATCCTGGAGTAGAATGAAAGGCTCATTCCAGCAAAGCTAGAGCAATATTAATTAATGATAATTAATGTTTATAACTAACTTCCTCAATGAAAAGCTAGAAATCAGCGTATGCACCGTAGCACTTGCTCATGATGGAACAAAGAGCACAACCTGGAGACCCCAAACAACATGAACAGTACAATGCGTATAAATGCGTCAGAGATGTCCTGCCCTGAAAAATCGTCGACCAATCGCTTCTTTCTTCTCAGCGGTTTGACCTGCCGGGTTTGTCCTCGATGGCAGAAACGTGCAATTCCCCACGATGCGGATGCGCAAGTCCCAATGGAAGTGGAGCTTTGGGATGCTTTCACGTGGAAGTTGCCAGAACCCCCTAGTAATTACTCAGATGTACTCCACACCGCATTGGTCTGCCCCATCCGCCCCGTTCTGGTCGTCTTCGGCATCAATCGACGCCCGCGCGTTCCAGCTCCGTGCGCTCGGAGAGCTCTTCGAGGAGCACCCGCGCACGGCTCATGGCGCTGGCGTGGATCGCCTCCACTTGTTCAATGGCCTAAGACAACGGTTTGGAAGACGGGCTGAAAGGTTCAGGCACGGTTCATGAGGGCGGAAGACTTGATCTTTGCAGGCACATAAGCACATGCTGTCAAGATTACATAGTTTTATAGATTATTACAGACAGTATTATAGTACGTAACTGGTTGGTTCTATGTTCTTTAAAGCCCAGTGTGATGTGTGATGTATTCAAGAAAAAGAGAAGAAGAAACCAGGCGAGTGGATCCAGCCAAAAGTCTATCGCCACATGGCAAAGCCAACAAAAAGCAAAAGTGTCGCCCCAGTGGTCACAGCTGTCAGTTAACCGCCTGGCTCCCCGCTCCCACCCCACCTCATCCTCCACTCGTGCCGACACCACGCTGGACTCGCCCTCCGTTAGCGCGCCCGTGAGGCGATCGCAGTCGGCGGAGAGGGCGCGGAGCTGGCGCCGGAGTTCCGCCAGCTGCTGGGGCAAACGAGGCGCTAGGCGTGCGAACGAGGCCGCCTGGACGAAACAAAGGGAGGTGAGATGGGAGGTGAGAGCCAGGCGATGTGCCAATATGGGTTTTTCGCCGAACGGGTCAGGAAAGGGGGAGATGCACCTCCTTGTCAGAGCGATTCATGAAAGGTTGCTGGCGTAAGTTGTCTGCGTCAAACGGGTTCAATATGTTCCAAGATGTTCCAGCCCGGAAGACTCATATCAATTCCAATTTCTTCTGCTCTTAGGTTCTTTCTTTGGACAGTTCGTGGACAAGAAAATCTGCAAAACCAGCAACATGGTACCTAGCCACAACAAATGGTACCATGGTTGTTGGACATGGCTGCAACATGGTACCATGGCAGCATGCTGTTGGCCAGAATGCCAGGGTACCTAGCTGCACGGGCAACAGCATGTTGGAGGTATCAATCCCATGCACTCACTGTCAACCCCAGGAATCGTCCTGTGGGAGGTTTACCCCAGGAAGCGACCCCTAAAGGAGAAACAACCAAGAGCATCAACCATTGATAATGGATATGTCATAGTATCATATTATGACAGTAAGTTGTTATGCAGTGTATCTAAAGCAACTATAAAAGATCATGTGGCCCCACTGTTCCAATGAACCACCAGCAATGTATGAACTTGCCAACGTTGGGTCCGCCCTCGCCCAGATCCAAACACCGAACTGGCTTTCTACCGGTCATGGCACCATATGGCACCAGGAATATGTCCTTGGTAGGTCCACTACCCGGAAGGTCGGCTACGCTAGATGGTGGACCCAGGTTTTGACCCCTGACCCATCCCCATCTGGGAGTACGTATACATAGGGAACTTCACCACCAATGGGTTGTGGTCCATGTTCCTTCTTTCAGGCGCTCTTAGGTTGGAGGCTATCGCTAGTTGGAGGCGTTGTGGTCCATGTTCCTTCTTTCCGGCGCTCTTGAATGCTCTTGATAGCTGCCGCCGGAGAAATCTCCCTCTATGTTGAACAAACCCGCCGGCGGAGGAGTACCGTTTCGCCGACGACTCCCGAGTAAGGGTCCAACGGAAAGTTCCACTGGTTTGAGTGGGGAAACCAATCAATCCCAACCAATCCCCCGCCAAAAAAGGTCTTGCAGGTTTCACTTCTTCTGGGTGGGTTCCGTCTTCGCTGTCCAAGAGACCTGCTCCATCTTCGGTGGATTGGCCGGGCCCAGCTCGATGACCGTGGGGTCCGAAGTCCGGCCGGCGCTCCAGGGAGCGCCCTGAAGCAGCTGGTCCACAGCGGCATTCAACTTGGTCATGAGATCCTGGTGAAAGGCATTGGGAGACACAGTGGAGACCATGACTTTTTCACCGAGGGAACCCCCAACGAAATGCGATCGGTGGAACAGGTTGGTGGCTTAGTAGTATACCAACTATATAAAGGCGATGCTTCATGCAGTGACCCTCCCGCCTCACAGCCTGCACACCAAACACCCGGCCACCTCCAGAACCCCCTGCCGTCTGGAAAGGATAGTGCAAAGTACCCAAAACCGACCGACCGTTCGTCAACGGGTCAGCCGGCCATGCAAACCCTATGCTTAGGCAGATCGGAAGAACTCCAGTGCCACGGTGCTTGCCATGCATGAGGGGGACCCCCGAAATATTGCACATCGCCCTCACCCTGTGGATGGCCTTACCACCAATCTGCAGACCCTCAGAAAGCTGGCCTCTAGGCTACCCTGAAGCAATATCCTCCTCCTCCTACTAGTAGCAAGAAGCTACGGGGCTCCTGGCGTCGCTACGAGTAAGGAGCGATCGGACGCTACGAGTAAGGGGCGACCCTGGCCTTTCTACAGTACTAGAAGCAATATCCTCCTCCCTCCAGCACCTCTCACCTTTCTGACCGTCCGATCGGTCTATACGACGAACGTAACTATAGGACGATGTATCGGAGGTGCCATAAGAACCACAAGAATAACAGGGTTTCACAGGATATCCTGGAGGTGTGCACCTTCACAGTAGTAGTAACAGGTTACTGTAAAAAGGTTTATCGGATGTTCAGGTCGTCATACAATGTTATATTACCATGTACTACCCACTCGCATGGGACAGTCAGTCAGCGCCGATGGTATGCCCACTCTAGTGACATACAGAGAAACATTCAGTTCAGCAGACTGCGTCACAGCTCACTCCTCTTTCCACCGTTCGCAAGGGGAGCGGCGATGCCATGAACTCTTATGAGTCATCAGAAGCACTCTTCCGATTTGCGTTGGTTCGTACTCCTAGGACCACTAGGGGGTGAACTCCTTTCACCGGCGTGAAGAGAACTCTCAACACCCGCTCTCTCGAGCCTACTGCTCCAGAGCTTACAGGAGGATCCTGCAGACTGAACCCAGCAGTCGAGACCTGGACCCCTCGGAGTTGGCCGCCGCCCACGGGGCAAGGGGTGACCACAACAGGACACCCGGGTGGGCCGCACCCACCGGTCGGACTCGATACTCGTTCCTGGCCGTAGCTTTCAGCTGGCCTTTCCCCCAAACAAATGAAAGCGCAGCGGAATGCGCAACAAAAACCTGTTTCTGGGTAGGGTGGGTGGGGAAAAGACAAATCTCCTGAAGCTGTTTTGGGTCACTTGAGCATACGTGGCAGCGGCGGCATGCATACATACAACCTGCCACATCTCAAGCGAGATCCACTGACATGAATGATTAAGTGTCCACCACACCTGCCCTACAAGCACAAGACACTACAACCTCCTGTACAGAACCAAAAACAACACCTCCTTACAGCGGATGAGTAGAGTACTCCTCCTGGTTTGTGAGTAGAACACCTCCTCTACTGGTTAAACAGTAGAACACCTGGTTTGAGAGGCGTCGATGCCGGAGGCAGTCGAGGCACAGCGTCCAAGCTCACGGGTGGCAGATCCGTGTCATCCGGAGAGGGTGGATCCGCTGGAATCGGAGCCACCACCAAGTGACTCTCAACCTCTGCAGATGTGTCGACTGAGACAGACGTGGTCCATGTTTTACATCCATATGGCTGTGGGTCATGGCACCGGGGACCCTTTTCCGGTTGACCACGGGTTCCATGAACAGGTCATAGACGACTAATAGACTAAGGAGATCAACTTGCGAGGGTTTAACGTTTAGGGTTCTGGGTTTTGACCCGCAGCATATAATATATTGTATATTATATAATGTTTAATATATATATATATATTATACGTATTATATATTATATATATATATATTTTAAATATTATATATATATAATAATATATATATTATATATTATATATTGCACTCGTGTCTCATATCCTCGATCCAAAGTCCGAACCTGATTTGAGAGAAGAGATCTCATATGTGTTCTTTCAAGAGTGGACCCATGTCATCCCATCTAGTCTCGTGTCAGACATAGACATAGACCATGTATGACAATGTTCAAGAGGTATACGTAGTTGCTTACATCATCCAGGTCCAACACGATGGAGTCGGGAGTCGTGGGGTTAACCTGGGGGGGGAGGCATCTGGCCGAAGCTGTGCGCCCTTTGGAGCATGATAGGACCCTTTTTGAGTCTTGCAACTCGTTGCATGGTTAGTATATACGCAAACATATGTTATCCTTTAATGGTTGAACCCCAATTCAGGGGACCGGAGGGTCACGACATACGACATGTCGCGACCATTGGTCAGCTCCGGCATGATGGTCAATTCAGGTCTTTTGTTCTTGAGGCTCATAGTAGACTCAGGTCTTTTCGGCTAAGACCATCCAAGAGGTCAACCAATGGACTACCCGGCCCAGACTACTGGATGCACTGGATCTGGCAGCAAACTACGGACGGTTTTTGCGGGTGCCCTCATTCGGGTTCGTTGATTGTAAGCTGTCAAAAACAATGGTTGATTGAATCCCAGGGTGTTGTCTGTAAGCTGTGCTTCTTTGTCTCGGCGCATTGGAGTTCTGATTGATCCTTGGTGTTCTAATTGTGTGTCATTGGACTGGCCAGGCTCTGGCTGATGCCCCGCGATAGCGTGGGTCAAGGAATAGCTACCCCAATCCTGTCGTGTGGGGAAAGGAACCCATCAATGCCACTGGGAGCTCAAAGTGTGACTTGGGTGTCACTGGGTCACTCAAATCATCTAAAATTCATTTGATCTCTCTTGACTCATTGCATACCGGTATACCCATAGCCCATCATGCCCATCAGTGCCTGCTTTGGGTTGGTCAACTTAGGCCCCGGTGGCTCTGGACTGCGCGCAGCGGGGCCGCGTGATGGACTGGCCGCTCGAGTGGATCCACTGGTGGCGCTCACGGCCACCGCCATGGGTGGTGGCTTCAGCTTCTCAGGTGGCTTCGCCTTCGGCTGTGGCCATGCCTGCACCTGGCGAGAAACTTTCAGCATCATCCAACAAACGAGTGCGGATGGGCGGATGTCGGAAAGAATCACTTATAATGCACACCTAGGTTGTATCGGCGTTCATATTTGTTTGCCACATTTATATATATATATATTTATAATATATATATATACCAGTAGTTGGGGTTGAGGGGTACCGGATGTTTGAGCTATATGGCCACGGGCACATAGTGTGGAGAAGATTCACCTGAACCTGGACTACCCCGACTGAATCTCCAGACTGGACACCCTTTTCGGGATGATGGTCTGTGAACATACCCCAAAATCCGCCCCAAAATGCGACAACTATCGACCTGTTTGTTTGACCTTGTGGGATCCTAGCAAAAAAACATGCATGACTGGATTGGGGGGGATAGGCTGTTCATGGCTGTTCAATCGATGCTCACAGCTCCAGAGCCTCGGCTACATGGCACACGCCCAAGCTTTGCTCTATTTGACAGAGCTGCTCTCGGATCGTGTCGTCCGCCATGGCGTAAAAGGCAGTTGAAACGTGCGACTTGACGCTTCGTCTGTGCGTTGTGACTTGGCTGTAACTTTACTCTCCCCAAAAGTGGTCCAACTCTTCTTCAGCTGACTTAACAACCTAAGCTGTAGCGGACAGAACCCTCTTCTAGGCTGGTCCTGGCCAATCCTGGCTTTAGCTTCATGAATAAACACTCCATGGCGAGAGTTTTCTAGGCTTGGCTGGGACAATACAGCATACTTGGAGGCGTCCAGGCCCCCAAGGGATGCCCTCAGTGGATATGCGCCATGGAAGGATACATGTGTAGAGTCTCCAAATAGATAGTTGGAATGACTTTGGCCATCCATTGGGGTTCCAATCGAAGCCCATAAGTAAGTCATTGTATATAAGTCATTGCTGACTCTTTGGATGGTTCTGGGACCGGGATGCTTTATTGGGGTGGAGTGGGATGTGCTGCTTTCTGTTTAAGTTTGGGGTCATTGGACATTGGACAATTAGGTGACCCTCAGGCTTTTCTACATACCTGGATTCTATCAGCTTTGGGATCTTGGATCCTATCTGCTTGTTTCATTGAAGGCGTGTAAGGTGTGTATGTGTGTTTACTGGGCTTCTGTGTGTGTGTGTGTGTCAAAGGGACCTGACACCGTGCGCACATTCAGCACATGCAGCTCCCCAGTGATGCCTCAGCGCTGGGATCTTGAGCCACACAGCTGACCCAAAACGGAATGGGAACTACTCGGGAGTGGTGACTATGTGGTGACTGACTTTGGAATTATATTTCATCATAGTTCATCATATGTCATCCTTATGTGCATCATGATGCATCTCATCCCAATCAGCCGAGCTGTTTCCCCGTTAAAAACGCGCGGCCCACCAAATCTCTTCCCCCCAAAATCGTTGGGCAGGTGATCCTCTTCTGCAGGTGATCGGTGATTCTTCGGTTGATCTTCACTCACGAGCCGTGAAAAGCCCATCGAAACCCATCGATCCGGGTGATCCATCGACTTCGCTCCCCGTCAATCGAAGTGGCGGATAGGACGACTCAGCAGCTGAAGGACTTCGCCAAGAAACACAGAGTTCCATGGAGCGCATGGGGGTGCCGACGATGGCATCCCATCCACTCACTGGATCGGACGACTAAAGCCGCATGGGAACTGCATCGGACTAGCGTACAGTTCTTCCAGGTTTCATTCGCACAGTCTTCTCTTTAAAGAGTTTTTCAGCGCCATAGGGGAACCCCCGCCCATCCCCAGTCTTGGCCAGTTTGAGCAGTAACTTCGATTCGGGTGTCCGGGTGTCCGACAAAGCACCGCAACGAGCTCCCCACTACCGGGTAGTGACCCTTGGGTGTGTCGGCCTATGACTTTGTGGCAAAATATGGCAAAATGCCCACCTCATCAAGTCACAGTGCAGACCCTATCATCTTCGACCTACCATCTATCACCCCGGTCACGCGTCGTCGCCGCCGCGACCGGGAAAAAAACCATGTCGGAGTCGGACGCGTCGCACGCGTCCGGTCGTCCATCCCTCCGTCGTCGCCTTTTGGAAGTCGTGAAACTCCTTCGAGAGGTCTCGAATGGTATCATTCCACCTGCCCCGCCCGCCGCCGCTTCGGTGGGCAGAAGAGGTGCTCTATAGGCTTTCTCCACCACGCCCATTTCTTCACCACGGGAAGGCCCCCGGTCACCGTGAAATCCTATGGCTCTTTGGAACCCAGTGGTCCGTGGTAGATCCACCTGAAGCAAGCGATGCCTTTTATTTTCCCCCTCCTTTCCCCCACTGAACGAAGCTTGTCTGATGGTGTGAGGACACCATCGGGCTCAAATTCGCAGGCCAGTCTTGCCATACTCTCGGAGACCCCTATATCCCCAGGGTGCGTCACTGGAGAAAGGGGACCTCCGAATCCCCACAAGACTTGACGACAATAGATTTTAAAGCTGAGAGCCAAGCGCGGCCGTATTAGACTTAGCAATTTGAATTCGACTGACACCAAACATGTTTCAAAGTTTAGGAACAACGTCCAAAATAAGAACAACTGTGAGGTTAATTCTACGATATTCCACATGCATGTCTATCACGGGTTTGATTGTAGAAACAGTCTGACTACGATGATAACTTATTATCTACTCCGCACAGTTGTCTTGCTTAGGACATGTCGCCGCGGTCTGATGTCAGCCATCAGCGTGCACTGGCACTTCCAAATTCCAATTCCTCTCTTCTCAAGAAAAAGTTGTTACAGATCGAATCAATCGAACGAATCCCTCAAAAGCACCCCAAAAAAGTCGTTTGGAAGATCCATTTTAAAGAACCTTCAGAACTCATAACTCACCACTTTACCATACCTTACCCCAACAAAACCCCCGGCTGACACTCGGTTCCGAATGGCCCAAACCCGGAAACCCGCAGCCTGGCGCCGCCGAAACCACTCGCCGCTGTGCCTGTTCATGTTCTCGGCCAGATTCCCGATCGCCTGGTCATGGTCGTTCCGCAGCCTGGCGACGGTGACCCGGTGGCTCGGCGCCATGAACGGTACTAGTAGGGCGGTTCTGTCGCAAGGTGCGGCAGAAACATCAACTCGAACTCCATTCCATTCAAGAAGACTGGAAACTGAGTAGAATGCCCCAAAATGGTCCAGTTGCTGCATGTTGCCACAAACCTTTTGATTGCCGGGGGGGGATAAACTTTTTCCAGCATCTAAGTCTAAACAAAGTCGGCCCGGTCAACACTCAAAATGCATCAACGCACTCAATAACTCAAAACCCCCAAGTCTTCAGCTCTTCATGACCCTGGTGAGCGGGACCGGAGTTGGGAAGCTCGGTGAGTCTCGGTCACCCCGGTGCTGACCGGTGCACCGACCGTGCTGCCGCCCATGCGACGTCACTATATGAACGTCGCCCTACGAGTATGTCGCGTGAAACGCGCCTAGTCCCACGAAGAAACACAGAAGAAACGACAGACAACGTCACACGACGGAGTCACACACGGAGTCACACACGGAGTCGGACGCCTCTTCATCTCATTGTTGGCATATTGTGCCGCCATCTCCACCTGCGGTTGGTTTTCTGGTGTAAACAGGTCCGAAAGTCAGACGAAACAGCTCCGAGCGCTGTGACGAAAAAACGAGAAGGTTCCAAACCCAAGCCCAAAGGCCGAAAACGAAACGAAGGTACTTGGAGGCAATTAACACACGTCCCAAAAAAAGAACACTTGCCCAACTTGTAAATCTTGAAACCAATTGAACTCCCTGTGGCTCTCAGATCCAAAGCCATTCGTCCCGATCTGTGTTCCCATCCTTCGAAACGTGCGCCGCCCCGGTCTGGCTTCACCGGTCGACCGAGACCGTTCCCCGCCGTGTTCCGCGGTTCGCAGCGCATCACCCCACCAGCTAGTGACCACACGGTCGCAGTCGGCCCCGTTGGCTTTGGCTGGTGCAATTGCCTCCCAAAAAACTGCTCAAACACCACCTGTCTGGGACTGGCATACCACCTGTCTGGGACTGGCATATTATTTTAGGATGCTTGAAAAAAAGGTCAATCTAGGTCCATACAGGGAGTGTCTTTGATTTGGAATCCCTTACACAACCTTTTGGAATCCCTCGACCAAGTGAAGAACCTGAAGCCAAGACAACCCACACAGCCACTTGATCATAGTGGATCCATTCTCATCATTCTTCCAGTGGACACCCCCACCCACCGGCGTCCGCGTCCGCGTTGCCGTGACTTTTCGGCTTCAGATTGGTGAGACGTGATGCTAACCACCGCGGCGACGGTGAGTCTGGTCGTGAAGACTGAAATGGAAGCAAAGCACTCATCAAACAACTTGTCCTAATAATATATACCTAGAACCTGAGTTTGACCTCTATTTTTGACCACCAAACACCCAAAATATGGCCTTTTCCTATCAAAATAAGGGTCAATTGGGTTCCATATATCATATATGACTAACTTTATGATATCATATTGTATGAAGGTGCTTTTCCTTAAGACATCTTAAGACCAAAAAAAACACCAAAAGAACATGGAGAAAAAAAAACACAACAGAAAGCCCGAACAAAAAAAACACCCAATTGAGTCGATCTCAACCACCGTGCCCAATCCCACAACCAGTTTTGGTAGACCTTCCATATGCTGGTGGATACCACCTTCTCCAGAAGTACGAACCTCCAATGCCCACCATGAGACACAGATCTCGAACCTGGCTGCATCAAACCAAACAGAAAGAAAAACCTCTTCATCCACAGGACTCAAATGGATTCAACCAAAAAAAGCAATTCACAGCCGAACCGGTGACACTTTTTCCTGGCATCTTCCCGCGACCTGGCTCGCGCGCGACCCGCCTGCCGTCGCGACCCGTCTGTCGTCCAGACTCGAGATCCGTCTTGATGGAGCCGTTGCTCCATGAAAAAAAACATCGACTCGCCCAATCGGGGCGCAGCGTTTTTTTTGTGGCTCCGCGGCCAGCGGAAACCCTTCGCGGTTTCCGAATGAACGCAAATACGTAGACCGGCGCGGTGAACGATCTTTGCTGGCATGTTCAGATTCTTAGGCACATCGTAGAGCTCAGGACTCAGGACGTGTTGAGGGGGATGAAGTGATCCTGGCCTAGGATGGGTACCTGGAGCATCCTGAAGCGAACACATGATACATCATATAATACATCTCGATGTTTCATGATTTTTCATGTGGGCGCAAGCGGTCAGCGGACTGAAGGCTCTCCCGTTCTTCGTTGCTCTCCTTCACCCGGCTCTCAGAAGTCGAAGAAAGGTCTGAAGATGCCACGACGGTGCTGTCGCCCCCCAAACTCATCGCTATCGGGACTGCCACGAGCTGGTGGGCTAGGACGAGCTGGCGCACTTCGAAGATATTGGTGCGTTGATTTCAGCCCTTCCATACACAATGGGAATTGTCCATAGGATTTGGATACTGGATACTCCCAGCAGAATCGCAGTCGAATCGTCGAAAGGGCGCTCCAGTCGAATCGTCGACGTAGGATCGATCGGTGAAAGTCTAACCCCCGAGGACCCCTGGGCCATCCCGGGCCGCCGGGCGTGATGTTGGGCCTTTCTATGGACAGGAGCGATCGGACGCTACGAGTAAGGGGCTCCTGGCATCGCTACGAACGGAGCAAGAAGCTATTAAGAATTCAATAGAAATAATAGAATATTAGACTTAAAATTAAGCTAAGTGATTTGGATCCATCCCGGGCCGTCATGTTCGCCTTCACATGCCCGGCGTCCGAATTCGGGGCCGGATCCGCCGGCTGGACCCTACACGCCGAAGCTCCGCTCCACCATGCGTTCACCGAAAGCAGAGTGGTTGTTGAAAGTACAGCAGTTCATTGGCCTTTGAACCAATCAAGCACCTTCAAAAGACCTCAAACCATCTGACCATCGTGTAGTTGGGGAAGCGCCTCAAAGCATCGCAATCAACACCCTACAGGTCAGCCTGGCATCATTGGGTCTGGATGTAGTCATACAAAAACACTACGAAGAAGGATGTCAGTTGGGCCTGGTTTGGATCTGGGTCACACACTGGACGTGCGTAGGGATATGTAGGGATGTAATACTATGATAGCAATATCCCGTCCAAGAAGAATGGAACAAAAACCGGTGAGCCACATGTTGATTAGTATCTTTTAGTGATTTCACTTCCCAGGAGGCCATTTCACTTCCCAGGAGCCCTGTGTCGGCCGTGTTTTCAGCAGTGGCGACCCCAAACGAAACTTACCCCTACGGCGAAGCTATGTCTGGGTGTGGCGACCCCTTGCTTTCCCTATATTTGATGTTCATGAACCCGGAACCAGTCTAGGTTGACCTCCGACTCGTTTCTCCATTCGGTTCATGTTCTATGAGAACAAACCAAGGTACCCCGGTGTAATGACCCACAGCCATGTGTCTCTTCTTCTTGCTGACCCTTAGTCGTTTTTGGGGGCTGGGGTGGCCGAATAGGATAGAAAGAGCTTCGTCTGCGCCCAGATCAGGAGCTTGTGACTCCCAACCCCGGCTGTTGCAAACAGTGGATGATCCTGAAAGGAGCGCATCTGGAAAGAGACTCCCCCTTTGTCGCAGGTCGCTTCGGATGGATGGGTAGCTCTTTCAGCTTTGAGTCGCATTCCCAAGCCCCAAGAATCCAAGCTTATCTTCAAGATTTGTGTTTTACACTTTGACATACGACCCTGAAACCCTGCAAAACACCGTCGACAAATAATATCAGTTCAAGGTGTTCTTCCCTCGGCATCTTCTCTGGAAAATCACGAGGTCAACCGGGCCTTGGCCTAAAATGAACTAGCAATGCCTCTATTCACCTCGCAGGTCGTCGACCAGTCGCAAACATCCGAGGGTCCTCTCGCTTGTCCGATAGTTCCCATGATGTGCGAAATCGGGGAGACATCTTTCAAATCATAGACGCGCAGCGCTGAGCTGTCCCAACGCGGGGATCAGAGCCGACTGCTTCCCGCTCTCCTGCCGAGAGAAGCATAGCTGGTGGCGCAAGACCACTCCCAAGAGTCACAAAGGGGGTGGTGACTACAGGAACCGAATAGCAAAAGGAACCAAATATAATGGCCTCCCCGAGAACGAGCCATGGCCTCTACCAGGAGTCACATGGAGTTGGGTGGTAAGTTTGGTTCGCTGTGGATGTGACAGGTATATTATACCCATATACCCTCCGTGCGTTCGGCACGTTCTCTCTTGTGGCTCCCGGAACAGGGGCATGTCCTCCATGCTGGTCCTCCATGGTCTCCAGTTACAAACCATCCGAGAAGGGTCGTGTGGGTCGAAGAACTACGGTATTGAATGGTATGCACATGTATTAATTGTATTCACTTACCGGCCCCAGGGCCCCAGAAACCATCAAACACCTCGTTCTCCCTAGCAAAAAACAAGGTTTTAAATTTGTGAACACCGTTAATGTTTCATGGGTAATGAACTGAGGGCTGCTGGTACCTTCAACAGGCCACTTGAAAAGACCCCAACAAAAACACCACCGGCGCCACAGGGTTAGCCGGCCGTGACCAGCCATCGAACTCCGTGACCACCGGTCAACGCACGGCGACGGTTCAACGAATGTCCGGACTGGATCAAACAGTTTTGACAAACGGTTTTGACCGACCGGCAGAAATTTTGAGGCTGTCTGAGGCGCATTGATGGAATGTCACCACCCCCAATTGATAGGTCAATAGGCCAGTTGCATGGAAGGTCTGGGTATGGGAAAAGGCAAGATAGATAAGTAGTTTTGACTGCCAAGACTCTTAACATGGGAGTCTTGATGATCTTGATGGACACCGAAGTACTCGTTTGATCGCTTGTACATCCCTTAGCATCCACTGCCACCTTCATCAGAAGCTACGACTGGATCCAACAATGGCGCCTACACTTCGTGTCTCCAAGTGCACCTCTCAAAGGGTCGCAATATGTCGCAATGGATATATCCATAGGGATACCCAAACACTCCATGTATGGCATAATATGCCTCCATTGACCCCTGAAATAAACCACCCCAATGTAGGGAAAGATGGCAGTCCCAAACAGGTCGTGTTTGGGATATGTGAACAAGAAAGGACGTGACCGACACTCTCTGTTCGACCGTCTCAGTAAAACTTGTCACGATCACACCCACACCGCTCCGCACCGCGAAGGTCCCGCCAACCCCGAGCCGAAGCCGCGAATTCGCCCACCACACGGTGGGAAGGACGTCCCAACCGAAAACCGAATCACTGGGGGAAAAGGCATGAACACGTTGCTCCTCTGCTGCTTCACTCCTCTTTGACCAAGAGTGGGTCACTGCCAGACAGCGGGCCCTGCCGGCGCCAGTGAGTAAACCCTCGAGATCATGTCTGGTTTGGAGCCCCAAAAAGAAATGAAACACCCGATGTTAGGTCAAATGCACCCCAAATTGGATCGAGTCATCAACACAAAGCAGCCCACCAGGAGTCACAGGAGGGAACGTGCCGGTTCCGAACAGAGGATATATGGGGTGCCTCCGTCACATGCACAGCCCCTGGATAGGACAACACTTACCACCCAACTCCATGTGACTCCTGGCCATTGGACTTTGTTCGTTCTTCAATATTGATAACAAAAAAGTTGGAATGTAAAAAATTGTTCATAAAATTGTTACCCATCAAGAATCAAGAGTCTACATTGCACTAATTTAGATTTGACTGGATTGAACAAAAACAGATTGATCGAGATTTCACAGGAACCATGCCCTGCGAATCCCAGTGAGTTTCTGCACTTGCTGCGGCCAGCCCAGCATTCCATAATCCCTACAGGTCAGTGACCTCATTTTACTGGACATGGTCATACAAACACACTACTTAATGAATGCAATAAACAAGGTTTTATGGTTTTACTGGGTCTTTGCACTTGTAGGGCATGAGTTGGTCTGTGATGTGGGCGGTGCTTTGTCGGGTCCTGCTTGTTCAGGTAGTAAGTGAAGTTTGTTGACAAAAATTGAGGCTTGGTGAATCGGCGGGTCTCTTGAATACCCACGTCCACAACCCACAAGTGAAAACCATCTTAAGCGCATCTTTATCATACAAGTACTGAATTAAGTTATAGTTATATGTGTTGATAATTCCCAAAACTAGAAACATATATACACACAAAGGCCAGATTTAACTCATGTAATTGAAACAATTAATTATGACCTTGCTCCAAGGGCCATGTCGATGCCATCTGTGAAACCAGAGAAAAAGAAGGTTGGCGGTCTTCAGCACCCCCTCTAAGCGCTAGTGGCAAGCACAGGTGGCCCAAAACACGTGTTTGCAAGGCGCAGCTCAGATCTAAGAACAGACGGCGGCTAGCCACTGAACCCCATTTCAAGGGTTCCCACCGACGTTCACCCCGCACTGCGCTTGTTGCAGCTCATCAGCCCGAGTTCACCTCAAATGAAACACTCAGACCTACAAAACAATTCATGGAAACCATGTGCCATGTTAGGCTTTGGTTTTGCTCAAAAGCTTGGTGGTAAAAAAGATAGAGGTTTTTTGGATTGAGAGCAAGGCGCAGGAAATCAGAGGCCAGTTTCTCGGCAACGGTGTAAAAAGCGGCACAGTCTTCGGAATCCATGAACTCTTGGTTGCTCATGCACGACGTCCAAAACTTTACCTACGGGTTCCATTTTCTAGAGGCGCAAACTTGAAAATAAATTCATGCCTGTGTTCGTGAGTCGGGTTGATTTGACTGCACCCCGGCGCCGTAGTAGGACACGGGCGCCGCGCAAATGAGGTAACCGTAGTTGGGCAAGGACGCAGTTTTGACTTTGGTCCTTTCTCTTCCACGACAGCCCCCTTCTGTTCAACTTTTGCCTCCTGTGCTGTCTTTGCCTTC